GATACCTGCTTTCTGTTATGAGAAACTATTCCCGATCCATCTTGTATATTTTCTTGTTTTAATCTAGGAATCAGTCCTCTGTTCCAGAATCCCTGGTTCTTTTAGTGGAAAATTATACAGAGAATCCCCACTCTGTGTACAGGGGTGCTTATTAGTACTGGTCATTGTTTCTAAGCCTCACATACTGATTTTTAGCAGAGCTAGTTTGATGGGCCCTGTGATTTATGATTCATGAGAATTTGGCTACTGGATATTTTCAGGAATTAAACAATATCTTATTCAACTAATGACTCGTGTAAAACATACTGTTTGAAAAGCACCCAGTTGCCTCTCATTGTTTATTTTTAAATTATTTTCCTTGTGGGGAGGGAATATGATTTAGCAATTCAGACTGAAAATTTTTATTTGGCATTAAATATAGCTAGCTGAATACAACATGATGCAACTTGCTCCTGTTACATGTAAGAGCCTGAGTAATGCTGGGTATAGCCCTAGTGACCCTGAGCCAATCCCAAATTGAACGGCACCATGTTACCAGGCTTGAGCACCAGAGGGCCAGAGTATTTTCAGGAGTACCCCATCCTACCCAGCACCCCTAGAGAAATCTCACACCCTCATCCAAATAAAGTAAAAAAAAAAAAGGTAAGTATAAGAAAATTTTAGCATCAAATATCAGCTAAATGGTAAATTTTTATAGGGTGAGATTTCCAGAGGAGAGTAAATATGTTTTAGTCTTTGAGATATAAAGATAATGATTATTACATCTCTCTTTAAGAAGGTTTATTTTGTCATAAGCTATTTATTGTTTCCTATTTGGACTTTCGTCAGTGATGTGGAGTGAAATCAATGGCTTTTCATCTTCTTTTTTTAAAATAGCTTCTTTTCTGACTAATCTTTCTCTGCAAAAATGATTGAAAGGTTTTATATTATTTCTGGCTCAAGGACCTATAAACATGTCAGGGACTTTTAGTTACATTATTAAAAACACTGTCAAACCTTCAGTAGATGTTTTTAACTGTCTGATATACATTAACAACTCTAAAGGAACAAATTAATTTTAGCATATAACCAAAATCCCTTTGACTGCTTTGATACCAACTATTTTGTGTTCACAGCATATGCCTTTGGAAATGTTCTGCTGGAAATCTCCTTAAATTAAATTTCCCTTTATTGTATATGTATTTAAGTGAGAAAATGAAAGCACTTAAGAATGTTTTATTCTACCATACACAATCTCCTTATTTGGAGTTCCCCCGGGGCAAGCACCACATCTTTTACTGTCAGTGCCCAGAGTTGTATAGGTCTCTGGCACTAAAATAAGCAAAGGTTAACAAAACAATAAAAACAGCAGCGCAACTGGTGGTGATGAAGGTGCAGTTATATACTGTTGTAACCATATTACTTCAAGTACAATAACTTCAAATACCACCCCCCCCCCCCCAATTTAAAACCTATATCCTGGGAAGGGGATTTAATATATCAATGCAAGATAAACTATAGTAGGCTTTTAAAGTGTAAGGTGTCAGGTGCTTAATCGTATAGTACTTGATTATTAAATCAGTGACTTTAGGGATACTCATGGTCTTAAGGTGAACATTTGCATAAACTGTATTTTGTTAAAATATTGAATTATTCATCATCTCTGCTATTTAAATTTTCTTGGTGCCTTCACTTTGTCATGGGTATTTTGATTGGTTTGTTTGCCACACTGATGGGGCTCAGGGTCTGCTCAGGGGACCATATGCATGCAAAGTAAGTGCCTTACCCCATGTACTATCTCCAGCCCATCAGGAGGTATCCTTTTTGTTGTTTGTTTGGGGGCCACACAGGGACATGCTTAGGGCTTAATCCTGGCTGTGTGCTCAGGGATCACTCTTGCTGGTGCCCAGGGGACTATATGGGGAGCCAGAAATTAAGCATGCAAGGCAAATGTACTATCTCTCTGGCTCCTAATCATGAGTAATTAAAAAATCTAAGTGTACTTCTGTTACTGTTACTGTTACTGTGTTTGGCATATCGAATATGTCACGGGGAGCTTGCCAGGCTCTGCCGTGCGGGCGAGAGTATTCTCGGTAGCTTGCCGAGCTCTCCGAGAGGGGCGGAGGAATCGAACTCGGGTCGGCCATGTTGGCTGCATGCAAGGCAAACGCCCTACCGCTGTTCTGGCTTCTATAAAGGATTTTAAGTATCTTTCCCTTTGCTGAAAACTCAAGAAAGTATAGTTGACCTCATTTGTATTGTAACACTGTAGCACTGTCCTCTCATTGTACTGTCCTCCCGTTGTTTTATCGATTTGCTCCAGCGAGCAAGAGTAACATCTCACAACAAATTGTGAGACTTGTTGTTACTGTTTTTGACATATTGAATACTTCCCGGGGAGCTTGCCAGGCTTTGCGGGTGGGCTGGATACTCTAGTAGCTTGCCGGGCTCTGAAGAATCAAACCCAGGTCGGCTGAATGCAAGGCAAACTCCCTACCCGCTGTGCTATCAATCTAGCCCCATTTGTACTATCATGTATAAAATAATCTTCATAGGATTTCAGCGAGTTTACCTATTATCATTAATAAGCCACCCTTTCCTTGTTCCCATCAGTTAGTTGTTTATGCAAAAAATAATGGCAAGAGCTCTTTGAAAGTATCAGTACCTTGGTTTTTGTTCAATCTGGAGAGGCTCATGATCTCTCTCGAACCCTTCTCTTCCTCTGTCTTTCCCTCTCTCTCCCCCTCCTTTCCTCCCTTCCCTTTAGCATTTCTCTAAGTAAATTCTTTCAGTAAAACTATTTTGCTTCATTAAAAATATAAGCATCAATACCTAAAGTACTATTTTTTTTAATTGAGGAAAACATCCTTTTTATTTATTTTCTTTTTTACTCCCCCTCCAGCACTCCCATGCTGCGGACCAAACCCAGGGCTTGCACGTATGCAAGGCAAATGCTCTCATGCTGTGCTATATCTCCTGCCCCCTTGGCACTCTTGATGCTCTATACTAGTGGACTTCGAAGTATTCCATGTTAATGATGAAAGAATTAACAAGAATGTAGACAGAAGACTTTTATATTCATGCTGTAACAGTTGTATGGGTGATGATATCTCATTCTTGACAGTGTTAAAACAGAGACTGATTTCCCATTTTAAATTTATTTTTAATTTGTGTTTGCTTGTTTGTTTTGGGGCTACATCTGGCAATGCTCAGGACTTATTACTCCTGACTCTGTTTCAGGCATCACCCCTGACAGGGCTTCACCAGGAATCCAACCGGGTCAGCTGCATGCAAGGAAAGCACTCTATGCAAGGAAAGCACTCTATGCATTATACTATCTCTCCAACCCATATTTTATGTTACTTTTTTAGCTTTAAAAAAATTGGGTCACATGTTACAAAGCTGTTTCCGATCAGTTTCAATGTAGACGTTTCAATACCCATCCAGTGATACAATGTTTCAACACCCATCCCTTCACTTGTATACTTTTCCCACCACCAATGGTTCCATTTTCCCCTACCCTTCTCTCTCTCTCTCTCTCTCTCTCTCTCTCTGCCCTTCCCTCCTTTTGCAGCCCACATTAAGGAGAAAAAACATATTAATGTGGATTCACAAGTGATTTAACCTTCAAAATAGTACTTATGCTTTTCTGGGAACCACATTCCAATGGAATTTTCTGTATATGATACATCATTATTTATCATTCTTGAAAGGAAATTTAATCGCTGAGCAAAATCAAAGTCTTGGGAGAAAAATTGTCCTTCAGTACATTCTCAGAGATTTGTTCTTGGTCTACCTTTCTATAAACCACTTTGAAAAGTGGTTTATAATTGTAAGATGCATGTGGGAAAGGACAACTTGTGTTCTGGGAGTTTCACAAAGTCAAGTCAGGAAGCTGAAATACATGGCCTCTTTAAAGAGATTTCAGGCTAGTATGCAGTTTGCTTAATAATTTTTGTTCCTGAGAAACATCAACAGTCTTGTAAGTCACAGGACCTCAATCAAAACGGTTTTTAAATTTGTTCCTTATCGTTTGTCTAATGGTTTGTGCTGAGTTGAGGAAGTAAAGCCTGTCTGAGTCTGGATTAATGTAAACACTACACTACTTAACTTTTAACTAGTTTTAAACAGTCTAGGTCCCAAGTTCAGTATGGAAATAGCTGAAGAATTTGAACTAGTGGAAAAGCAAAATGCATGTTTTGGGAGTTGATAAATGATTTGTTTAGTCAAAGACATGGTTGTTTTTCTTCCTGTCTTTTTAAACTTTAAAAAGCATAAGTAGTTGGCAAAACAAACAAACAAAAAGGGAGCATCCATACCCAATTCTGCTCCCTGTTCATAAAACAATGTGAAAAAGTCATTATTTAGGAAACAACTAAGGTGGCTTCCGTCTCATAGGCTTCCTAAGCTGTGAAAGACATGCAGAGATAGGGCATCCATGCTAACGTTTTCTGTCCCTTGCAGCAGGCGGAATCCGTGTCAAAATGCAAGACTTCTCCTCATTTCTTTTCCGCAGGAAACTAATAGTTAGGTTCCCTGCTTACTTTTTAAAGAAAGCAGAGAAAAAACGGTTTGGCAGTTGCTCTGGGATAACCATTCTTCCCCTCCTCTTAGCCCACACCCCCACTTAGACGGGCGAGACCTATCTCCATTTTATTTCGAAGTGTTTTTCGGGGCTTTTTTTTTTTTTTTTTGGTTAAGCGAAGGCAGGGGACGGCGGGGTGGCTAAATTTATCTTCTTCTCCAGCCACGGGGATGAAGAAAACACAGTTACGGCGGCGGGCGGGGGGCTGAGGGCCTGCAAACAACTCGAGCGCGGCGCCTCGGCCAGGACGGGCGCGGAGGAGCGGTAGGTTGTCCGGGGCGGGCCGGGGAGCGGCCGCGGCCCCCGGGACCCGGCGGGGTGGACACGCCGCGGCCCCGCGCGGGCTGCTCGGCCGAGGCGGCGGCGGCGCGTGTGTGGCCGCGGCGGCGGCGGCGGCGGCGGGCGGGAGCGCGGAGGTGGAGAGAAGGGGGGCGCTGTCACGGCCACTCGGGCCGCCGGAGCCCCCGGCGCCAGGCCACTCGGCTGCCCGGGCGCGGGGCGTGAGCGTCGCCGACCCGGGCCGCCAGGGACCCCACCGGGCGGAGGAGGGGGCCCGTCTACCCTTCCGCCTTTTCCTGGGTCTCTCTCCCGGGCGGTGACGTGACGTGCTGACGGCGGGCCCGTGCCGGGGAGCTGGGCCGCTTTTTGTCAGCTCCGAGCTCGGCCCCTCCTCCCTCCCTCCGCCCGCCCCACCAGCCGGAGCCCGGCCCAGTGCTCCAGAGAAAGGCCGGCCTGCAGCACCCGCCGCCGTCGCCGCCCGCCCGTCCGGTGAGTTCCGGGCGCCGCCGCGGCCGTGCGGCCTCGCGCGCGCGCAGCGGCCTGGTCTCGGCCTGGTCGGCGGCCCGCCGAGGCGCCCTTCCGCGCTAGGCCGGGCGCGATGGCGCGCGGCGCCGAGCAGGCCCCGAGGAGGCCGCAGTTAGGCCCGGGGAGGAGCCCGGCCGCCCCGAGCGGCGGCGGAGGCGCGTTTCGCCGACGGGCGGGGGTTGGGGGAGGCTCGCCCGGTGGCCGGGCCCTCGGCGGAGGGGCCCCGGCGCGGCCCCGGGGCCCCTCGCGGGGCTGAGGCCTGGCCGGGAGGCGAAGGCTGCAGGCGTGAGGTGAAGGCCGCAGGCCGGCCGGGCCGATTTTCGCTATGTAAATAATGGGCGCGGGGGGGAGGGCCGGGGGACAAGATGGCGGCGGCTCGGCGCCTGCTGCAGGGGACGACTGAGGGGGTTGCCGGGAGGGGGAGCCGCCATCTTGAAGGCGGCGTCGGGAGAGAAAATTCCGCTAGAGCCCGTGAGGGGGGGTCGGAGAGCGGGCGGCGGCGGCGGCGGCGGCTGCTCCGGTGCGGGGGCCCGGCGGCCCGGCACGGCGGCGTGCGCGCGCGGAGGGGGCGTGCTCGCGCCACACAGTGGCCATTGCCCTCGCCGCCATGATGGGCGCTCAAGCGCCAGAGGCTCGGCGGCAGCGCCACCTTCCTGCCCTGCCTTCCGCAGCCCCGTGACCGGCTGCTGCTTCCGCTGCGTCGCAGCTGGGCTGCCGCAAGCGGCCGTCGCCACCACCCGGGTCCCCGACGGCCGCACTGGCAGCTGGGCTGATCCCCGCCCCTCTGGATTTCGGTCCCCCAGCCCCGTGGCCGACGTGGCTTTTGAGGGCGCGCTCGCGGGCGTTGTCCCCCCCCCCCCAACAATCGTTGTCTCCTCGGTGATTTGAATAAAGGAATACAAATAAAATCGATCTGCGAGCAGTTCTCACCACTCTTTGAGCGGCTCGCGGGGACGTGCAAATTGCACAGCGCGAAAACGTAGAAAACACTTTGTTTGCGAACAACTTTCAGGAACGGGGAGCCTTGGAAAGGATCCCTTGGGATCGTTGGATGCCGTAGGGGATGACCCAGGGGCGGAAAGTTGCTTTCTTACGGAAGGAGTAAGAACAGTGTGCCCCCAAGTTTTATCTATCAAGGCTGGGGTGGGGGTGGCCCCTACTACAAAGTTGCGGGGTGGGAAATCCGCCCAGGCTGGCCGGCCAGAGCACTGGTGCCCCGACAGATGGCAGCGGGCTCCTGGACTGCAGCTGGAGGATGCTCCAAGACCGTTTTCTCGGAGGCAGAGAAGGTGAAATGTACTAAAGCGCTTCTAGGCTCTCCGAGGCGGGCAGCTGTCCCTTCTAGAGCTTCAGAGAGGGTTCCCGAGGTGCTCTTGGGCGGTTTCTGGGATGGCGGTGAAGAAAGGGCGTTTGGAGGGTGACCCCGTGTTTACATGTTGCCTGGAGGAGGTGGATGGTGGACGAGCGTGCTGGCGGGGGTGGGGGGGATTGGAGACCGACTAAAGGAGGCAGACCCCAGGAAGCCGAGCGGTGCTCCCCAAGCTGGACTTTAGGAGTGCCGTGGGACCAGGGAAAGTTGTAAAGTCAAGATGGGAGGAGAGAAGAAAGTGGATCAGTGAAGTGAAGCCAGTTATGCTACTCTTTGATCAGCCACTTCTTGGGTGCTCCTGTTTTTCTCTCCTAATTTGTCACCCCAAGTTAATAGCCTTCTTGCTCTGCTTATTTCTGTAAGTAAACAAGTAGGGGTTTCTTCCATTTCATTTGACCGTGGTTCAGCGTCACAATGCTGTGGGTTACTTTCCGAAGAGGAGGCCTAAATTTGGAAGTATTCCATTGGTTGTTTCCTTGCCTTCGCTTTAGAGAAGAGATGCTTAGAAGTGGGACTGGAAAGAGCAGTGGGTTCGAGAGCCCTGCTCTCCCAGTCGGTGAGGGAACTACCGATCACCCTTGGGCTTGACAGGGCAACTAAGGCTATGCTGAGTTCAGTTTCATGCAATTTTTAATTATATATATGCATATATATAAATGTTTAAAAACAAATTCTAATTGAGGTAACTTGGTTTTCCTAATGTTACTATTTCTGCCTTAGGCATGCAATGGCACTGCAGCACATCTGCCACCAAAGGGCTGGTCTTCTCTCTGCACCCTCGCTCTCCGTTCCTTCTCTCTGCCCCCACCCTCCTGCACGCTACCCTCAGTCCTGTTTTCTGCTCATGTTTTGATTAATGTGTGACTCGTGGATGTACATGGGGGAAGATGTTTCCTAGCGTTGTGTATAACTCTGCGTAAATATGTATTAGAAACTTGTTTCAGCCTTTCCCTAGACCGCAGCAGGTCAGAGAGTGATACTAGAGAGGAGGATAGGGAACTGGAGTTTCTTCTGGATCTTGTGAACTGCAGCGGTTTGCGAAAGTTGGAGTGAAGATGTGTTGTAGGAAGTTCACTACACGACACGTGTTATTGTGATTGTTGAGGGCTGTGATTTCCGATGAGGTAACCATAAACTTAGAAGAACCAGTTGCTCTATAGTTGGAGAGTTGGGAAAGACAAAGAATGCTGAAAAGAAAACACGTGGCTGGGAGATGGTGCAGGGCTTGCTAGTGGCCCTGCTCATCCCACACACTCACTGCAGGGTGCCCTGAGCACTGATGAGAGGAGCAAGAACAAATGAGAAGAGAAACAAAGCTGCTAGTGGTGGGGGACTCTGCATTGCCAGGAGTCGAACCCAGGACTCCCAACGTGCCAAGTTTGCACCGCAGCCCCTTGAGCCATTCCCCAACTGAGTCGTTATGGTTTTTGTTTCTGGGTCACACCTGGTGGTGCTGGGGGGTGAGGGTGAGGGAACCAACGACCTTGCAGTGTGGGTTGTGTAACCCTAGGCTCCAGTACGTGCGAAGCGCGCTAAAGCTATCTCCCCTGAATTGTATCTTGAGCCCCTGACTTGTTAGTTTTTAACACGTTTGTGCTTCAGATAGAAGTGTTCTTTAAAAAAAAAAAACCCACACTCACATTGCTTTTTGTACTGCTTCCTCTCTAACTGCATTTGAACTCACGTTGTCAATGATGACCTTGTTTGTATTATTTTCTGTTTGTACACACTGGCAATTCTTCACTTCTCTTTTACACTCTGAAAACCATCACTTTAGGTAGATTACCTAATCTTTGTTTAAACCAGAAGGTTAGATGACCACCTGATAACAGCCTTTGGGTGTTCACCTACTTCCATTTCCTGTTCTTCCTCTGTCTCTGTCTAGGCTTTTTTCTGTTCCCTTGCCTGCTGCCTGAGAATTGGCCGCCTTCAGGCGCAGCTGCTCTCTGCCTGTGAGCCCCACCCGTCCCAGAGGACTGAGCTGTCAGTGATTTGGCTGCTTGCATCATTGCTCTCTCCGCCGCTGCCTTTCCCTCACCGATATTCCTAGCTTTGCTCATCTTACAAAAACCTCACCTGTCTTCTCTCTCTTTTCACTAATACTTGAATTTTTTTCCCTCATCCCACTTACTCCTAAATTCCCTGTCGTCCCAAATCGGGAAGCCATACCACAGCCTTTCAGCCCATGTGTCAGATAAAAGCATTCTGTGTTTTCGGGCACTTGGTGCTTTTCTATTACTTGCAGTGGAATCCCCCTTACAGTCAGTCCTCCGTCCTTTCCTCTCAGATAGATATTTCACCCTGGCTGTAGTGCCCTTTACCAAGTCCCTTCTCTCCTAGTTTGTCAACTAGTACTCAGTTCCTACTTAACCTTCCACTTTACTGTCTTACTGTCTCAACATGTTCAAAACAAACTTTATGTGGCTCCTACCTGATAACCCACTGCTCTTTATTGGGAATATCATATATTTAATATGTTAAATATTACAGTAGAGCGATAGCACAGCAGGTAGGGCGTTCGCCTTACAAGTGGCCAACATGGCCGACCCGAGTTCGATTCCTCCGCCCCTCTCGGAGAGCCCGGCAAGCTACCGAGAGTATTTGATATGCCAGACACAGTAACAACAAAGTCTCCAATGGAGACGTTACTGGGCCCGCTCGAGAAAATCGACGATCAACGGGAGGGCCTTTACCTTTACCTTTTACCTATAATAAATATTGATAGATGTAATATGTGTGTATATATATATATATATGTTTAAACCCAGTGCCCCTATCCTCTGCTACCAGGGGGCTGGAGCAATAGCACAGCGGGTAGGGCGTTCGCCTTACACGCGGCCAACATGGCCGACGCGAGTTCGATTCCTCCGCCCCTCTCGGAGAGCCCGGCAAGCTACCGAGAGTATTCGATATGCCAAACACAGTAACAACAAAGTCTCCAATGGAGACGTCACTGGGCCCGCTCGAGCAAATCGACGATCAACGGGAGGGCCCCTAAAACAGCTACTTCCAGTTTCTGTTAATGACAACATCTTTCCAGGTCCACTTTTTTCTTACCCGTGGCAGATAGCAATGTAGAGAACATCAGTATTTAACCTACCTTTGTTTTTTGGGGGGGGGGGTGAGGCCATACCCAGCGATGCTCAGGGGTTACTCCTCCTGGCTCTGTGCCCCGGGATCACTCCTGGCAGTATTCGGTGGGCCATATGGGAATCTGGGGATTGGACCAAGGTTAGCTGTGTGCAAGACAAACATCCTATCCATAGTACTACGTCTCTAGCCCTATATAAACCTATCTTAGCTTTAGTTTTGTTTCTCCTACATTGTGGTTATAGAGGGGGCTGAAGCAATATTATGGCAGGTGGGGTGCTTGCCTTGCACGTGGTCTACCTGGCTTTGATCCCTGGTACCCCATATGGTCCCCCAAGCCCTACTAGGAGTGATTTCAGAACAGAACCAGAAATCAGCCCTGAGCTCTGCTGGGTATGCATCCCCTCCCCGCCAAAGAACAAACAAACTGGTTGTAGAGATAGCTTCTCAGTTATCTTTGTTCCCAAGCACTACCTGGCACATGGTTATCTCTGAATTACTTCAA